AAAAAAGAGAGCTATTTTAGTTTTGAGTGATCTGCACTCTAAAATTGAAGTCGCAGCTGGTATTCATATTCAATTAAACTTTTGAGACTTGATGCTTAAAGAAACTTATGCAATGTGATATGCATGTTCTTAATGTGATTGAAACAGTAGTTCAAAAAACAAAAGGTAATATTTGAAAGCGCTGGAAATAAGCTAAGTCTGTTTTTGGATGGTGAAAATAGCATTTAAAGCACCTTTCTTAGAAGGTTGTGACAGGAAGGTGGAAAGGTGAGATAAAATAGCAAAGAAACCTACATCCATGCAAGGCCTACACAGCATAACGAATACACCGTAGGGATTACAGATAAAACCCTCATAATACGATTTAGTGGTCTTAAGATAGTTCTCACAAATATATTAACTGAAGTATGAGAAAAGAGCTACGGGAACCTCCTTGTTAATCAAACAGATAATGTTCAAATAGAAGATTCTTACCCTCCTACTCTTCAAATGGTAGAAATCAATGAGGTCATCTGGCTGAGAGTGAGAAATTTGAGCCTTTGCTTTTATCTCTTCTGTCTCTCGCAGCTGCTTATCAGACAGCATTGTAACAAAACTCTCGTGGCAAGAGTTCAACCAGATCTTTCTGACCTCATTCCCAGTGTTACAGAGCAATCTTATGCACAGAATTATCCTATCATAGGAATCGTTATCAATTGGGTGTGGAAGAACTGAAGACTGCCCTAGCTGTATCATTGAGACCATGATCAGTAATGCATTAGTTGTTGCTTTGTTCACTTCAACTTTTGATGGCTGAACTTCTTCCAATCTCAAAATGAGCTTAGTCAGGGTGCAAGCAACAACTGCCCCAAGGAAGAAATCACCAGTCAGCAGAAGGGATCTCAGATTTCCAGTGGACAAAGATCCTTGAACTACTGTCGCAGGTGAAAAAACAGTTTCAGAGGCAGCACTTTGAGTAGCATATGTCCCATCAGCAAGGACAGCAGGTCTTCTAGATGAAACAGTAGTGGAGTTTATTTGCTGAGACTTTTTCGAAGAATCATTAGCTTCGCCTTCCTCAGAAATTGAATAAAATGGTAGGNTACTCTTCAAATGGTAGAAATCAATGAGGTCATCTGGCTGAGAGTGAGAAATTTGAGCCTTTGCATTTATCTCTTCTGTCTCTCGCAGCTGCTTATCAGACAGCATTGTAACAAAACTCTCGTGGCAAGAGTTCAACCAGATCTTCCTGACCTCATTCCCAGTGTTACAGAGCAATCTTATGCACAGAATTATCCTATCATAGGAATCGTTATCAATTGGGTGTGGAAGAACTGAAGATTGCCCTAGCTGTATCATTGAGACCATGATCAGTAATGTATTAGTTGTTGCTTTGTTCACTTCAACTTTAGATGGCTGAACTTCTTCCAATCTCAAAACGAGCTTAGTCACGGTGCAAGCAACAACTGCCCCAAGGAAGAAATCACCAGTTAGCAGAAGAGATCTCAGATTTCCAGTGGTCAAAGATCCTTGAAGAAAAAACAGTTTCAGAGGCAGCACTTTGAGTAGCATATGTCCCATCAGCAAGGACAGCAGGTCTTCTAGATGAAACAGTAGTGGAGTTTATTTGCTGAGACTTTTTCGAAGAATCATTAGCTTCGCCTTCCTCAGAAATTGAATAAAATGGTAGGTCACCAAGGCACTGCTTGATAGTTGCAATGCCACTCTCAACTTCAGAAAGAAATAGACAATACTCTCCAATGATCCAAAGGGCACATGAACAAACAAGTGCAGCTCGAATTTGGTAGAAAGTATCCAGTAGCCTTGTCACAATGGAAACCCTTGATTTTGGGTTTGTTTCAATAATCTCACGGACAAAAACAACCACATCAATTGCAGAAGCAACATTGTTATAACCCAAGAAATCCATCAACAGATGGACAACTGTACTTGCGACTTCCGGAAACTTAACAGCACA